TAGCTGTATAGCACATGCTTAACCTGTTTCTTAGGATTTACACAGCAAGGCACAAAGCTTAAAAGGATTTAAGTTTTTTTTTTACAAGGGATTTTAGTAGTTTACCTTTTGATCAGATAGGATTTGATATCAGATTAACTTTGTTCTACACAACATAAAAAAGTTCTTACCATGTTTAATCACCCTAGGAAGCAAAATAATTTTAGGTTAAAACTGAACCGTTTTAACCTTTAATTAAAGGTATTGTGAAAAATGTTGGCAAATTTTTTTAAAGACCCGCCCTCTCCACTTTAAAAAACAAAATGCACATGTACAACCCTGAACTTGCTCCCGAGAGGGAAAGCCCATTATACGAGAGCGTGCACGAGCCAATTTGTCCTCGTGCTGTTTAAAAGTTGCTGTTCTCATAGCTCATACAAGCTTACTGTGTCTGAATGTCCACCCTAACCCCTAAATCCCTCAATCATTGTATAGAGCAGGAACTATATAGTGGAATTTATAGCAAATTCAGTTAACTTACTGTTGGGACAGATGATCATTGCTTTTTGCTACCCATTGGTCACGTAAATCCTCCTCCACTGTGCGGTGCTTGCGCCATCTTTGTCAGTCACCGCTGTCGGGTAGCGACAGCCTATGGCAACAGCGGGCCGCTGTGACAGCAAATCCCATAACGCTTTGCAAGGAGAGCTCTCCGTGCAAAGATTTCCTGGATATATCTGCCTCTTCTGAGGCCTTTTTTTTCTTCTCATACACTTCTTAGACACTTTTTCTCCTACGACCGTAGGCCAGTTTCAAAGAACCGTGGTGAGAAAGGTAAGCCTCAATGACTGGCTGAAACTGTAGCTCACCAGATATACGCCTGAAAGTGCCCATGCACAGAAAAAGCTAGCTGAGGGAACAAGCACATAGGATGGCCTTACATAAACATATTGCCAGAATGACTGGCAATTTGGAGGACCACTTATTGAGATGATCCACCCAGAAATAAAAGATCATCCTCTATACCTTTAAGAAATCTGCTTACTCTAAACCACAAATGGCACAAATCTACCATTTTTTTTGTTTTTGTTAAACCAAACTGATCATTCTGACCTTGGCAGATGGCCGCTCACGCTGAGCCTGGTTGTGTTGGAGGTTTCTTCCTGTTAAAAGTGAGTTTTCCTCTCCACTGACACTGCATGCTTGATTGGTGTTAGGGATTGATTTGCAATGAGTCGATGCAATCAGCTGATTTTCCTGAGATAGAAAACTTTGAACCAATCTGACTATGATCTGGTTGAATTGTCTGTGTCTTTAGATGACATATTCTGAACTGGAACAAAATAACTAAACTGAATGTAATTGAATCAGATTAAATTGGCAAAAATGTTATGTCATCAAATAACTTTCCGACTGTCATATGCTGTTCTGTGAACAACACACACTACTGGTTGTGTGTTACAGTAGGATAACAAAAGAAAGTCTGAACTAGGCTCAAATCATGATATGTTAACTGGGAACACGTATAGGAGATATTCGGAACAAAAAAAAAATCAATCATGACCACAATAAATAGAACTCCAGGTCAAATATATTTTGGTTAAAAACTCTTGGCTTAAGTAGTATAACTGAAGTTAACTAGGCTATTATATGCAGAGGTAAATAGATGAAAATGGTGCAAAGATATCATAGTTCAACATGGATTGTATGTGTGCGAACCAAAGTTTATTCTGAAAAGTTTGGAGTGAGGTCAATCTTTTAATTAATTTAGAGCAATTGCAAAATTTTTAAACTAAATCACACTTCAATTCCAAGAGGTAAATAAAACATTGCTTGGTCAAATTATATTTTAGGAAATTATTTGTCTAAATCTGAAATTAGTAACCATTTGGACAATGGCATCATCAGTTGTCTGTGATCTCTTCAAATCCCTCCTTCGATGCTCCTTGCATAGCGTTGGATGAACTGGGTGGAGGGGGCTGCAGCTTTTGAAAGAAGCCAGCATTTAAATCAATCCCCAATGTCCATGCTTTTGGTCCAAACATTCTCCAGATATACTTTTTAAGAAATTTGATAAATAGCCTCCAAACCTAAGAACACTGAATCCTCTTTTGCATGTAGATGGCACTGGTACTGCTGGATTTAAGAAAGTAAAAAATAGTAGGATAAATAGTTAAAATGATATGGCGACAATAGAAATGATCTAATCATTGTCCCAAAATCAGAAATAAATGGCTAATTACACATAATCATACTATATCACTAAGCAATTTGAAGATGTACCTCTACGTTTAAATGTCATTTAGTTCGGCATGCTCTCGATATTGAAAGGGAGTGAACACATAAGTTAAAAGGGCTGTTTGAGGCCTTGACATAAAATATTATAGCTGACTATAGATCAAGGAAGTAGATGTCACATAAATAGTAATGTACTTGCTTTAAATGGTATGTATGCAAGTATGAAAGGCATGGCATGTTTATTTGTACAGCATAATTCAGCACGAAGACAATTTCAAGTGTTTTACATAAATCAAATTATAAATAATAAAATAAAATGGATGGAAAATAAAAGCAGAATAAAAGCAAGTAAAGATAAAAACATGGTACAAGCTGATAGTAAGGCCAATAGCTCAGCCAATAGCTTAACTTGGTCAAAGGCAGTTCTTTTTTTTTACTTTGACTTAAAGGGACTCAGGCTTTCAACACTTTTACAGTCTTCTTGGAGTTTGTAAAGATAAGTTAAGCATAAAGAAATTAAATGCTGCTTCACTTTTGATGGGAGCAGCAGCCATCTCAAATACTGAAGTTAGGTTTGGTCATGTTCCTCTTATTTTCCGAGTTGTAATTCCAGTTTCTCTAAACTTCAACTGAAACCCCTAGGGACATTGGAAATCGAAAAGTCAGAGGAACTTGCCCTCTCACATTGTTCACGTAACATTTAGTCAGTTTTACACTTACAACCTTTTACCTTTAATTATGTTTAGATGCACAATATACTTCATATGACTACTATTACAGTAATCACCTTAACAGCTGTAACAAAGGCTTCTCTTTACACCCTTTACCAACTTTTAGGGAAGTCGAAAACAGGAACACTTTTACTGTTTTCTTGCAATAAATGTAGGTTTACATCACTATTTGTGAAGTTTACAAACAGCCTTTCACTATATTACGTCCACCAACTGGTTTTGGTTTGGGTGTGTGGGAGTATGTATGTAGATATTTGTTGCTGGGGCATTATCCTGCTGGAGGTAGTAATTAGTAAAGTGAGGTCATAAAGACATAGAAATCTTAGGATTTCAGCCATGGGTGGGCTGAGGTTAAAATTAAGCACAGCGGCTTGGTCTGGAGAGGCCTTCATACCGATTGCTTGACAAGTGGAACTGTATTATTTGCATATAAAAAGCTTATTAAACAATTAAAAATGCGTAAACTATTTTGCAGTTTAATGAGGCTTACTCAACAAGCAGCTAAACATAAAAAGCAAAGGAAATTATTAAAGAATACCAAAGCTATTTCCTGAGATCTAAACAAATATTTTTTCAACTTGCTTTTAAATTTCAAAGAGTTTAGGGATAGATATAATCTCAGAAGCTTAAGAGAATAATTTATTGCGATGCAAAGATCTATTATGAATTACCTATCACCATTCCTGCACACCAAACACTTTACCTACTGTAGCTCTATTTTTTATGCTTCCTTACAATACTTAAGCAGATTAATTAGTAATCTGCTTAAGTATTGTATAAGATTGTTAAAAATCTGCATTTATTGGCATAAACTAAGTCTGGGATGGGATGATGGAAATGATAACCAGGCAGTGTTTGCTAACCTGCTGTAGCCATGTTTCTCAGTCTGGTGTCAGGCTGGAATGCTCCTGAATCTCCCTATGGCCACCCACCTTGATTTCAGCTGCATAATTGTTTGAACAATGCTAAAGTAGACAGTACTTTTCACATCAATATATTACCACCACTTTTCCCAAAGCTTTAATACAAAGAGGCAGTGGTGGTCTGGGAGTGGCGGCATAGTGATTAGGGCATTGCGCTTGGATCCCAGAGGTTCTGAGTTCAAGCCCCACTCCCACGGACTGCCAGTCTGGGTCCCTGAGCAAGACCCTTTACCCCTACACTGCTCCCCGGGTGCCGCAAAATGTCAGCCCACTGCTCACCAAAGGGATGGGTTGAATGCAGAGAGGGAATTTCGTTGCTTTGTACTTGTTACAGTGCAACCATAATAAAGTTGAATTTTGTTCTATGTATTTATGATTTCAGGGTTGATTATTTATCCTACCATAGTTTTAGTTTCCTTTTTAGAGTCCTTTTCCTGACAACTCTCATTCAATAGAAGAAAGGCTTGGATTTTAAAATAACAGCAGATCAGTAGTTTCTCCATACTTTCTCCATCACGCTTATTCCCAGGAGGGTCGTGAGGGGTGCCGGTGCCAATCTCCAGTTGTCTATGGGCGAGAGGCGGGATACACCCTGGACAGGTCACCAGTCCCTCGCAGGGTAACACAGAGACACACAGGACAAACAACCATTCATGCAGACACTCACACCTAAGGAGAATTTAGAGAAGCTAACAGTCATGTTTTTGGATTGTGGGAGGAAGCCGGAGTACCAGGAAAGAGAACCCGCAAATGCTCAGGGAGAACATGCAAAGTCCATGCAGAAGGACTCTGGACTGGGAATCGAATCCAGAAACTTCTTGCTGCAAGGCAGCAGTGCTAACCATCAGCAGTTTCTAAAACTCTTAATTTTACAATACAAAAGAACTTAAACACCCTTTTTCCCCTCATTCTGAGACCCGTTTTAAACTATAGCAAGTTAACTTATTTTTATCTAGGTTGGTGACACCTGCACTGCAGTTTTTGTTACCAGGTAACTGTAGAGCTCTACCTATAAGATGCCTTAAAAGCTAATATTTTCTTAGAATGACATTGTATACATTACCAGCTGATAATTCCCCCAAAACAATAGTACCTTCTAAGCCCTTTATTTAAGCAAACACTGAAACTATTTAGGAGTTATGTTTTTAATATAGCAAATTGATAAATAGATGTTTTAATTAGGACTCATATAGAAGTAGAGCGAACACACATAAATTCATACAAAGAATGAAGGACACTTTACATATTATGTAGGACATTTTTCCAGAGTGTAACCTGAAGCAATGAGTTTAGTTATATTAGCACCAGACAGAAAGACAGTATTGCAACTTAAACTCACCGGACATAACCTGTAACATGACACAGCAAAGAATCCTTTTAGATATAGTGCAAGTATTAATGTTTCTAATAGTGCTTAAAGCAGTCTTATAAAAGAGACCCACAAAGTTTATTTTTGTTTTACAAAATATATATACAAAATATATAACTATAAATATATGGTTACTATTAATCTTTTAGCAACTTAACAAAGCCTAAAATATGTGGTTATATATCTTCAGATTTTCCTGGAGTAGAAGTTGGGAAGAGCAATGTGTATGCTGGAGGAGCATCATTTGTCTGAGACAGAAAGTCTGCATTCATCTCAGGAGCAGAGGGATTCAGATTGAAAGAGGGAGCTGAAGGAGACACAGAGGCAAATGCAGGCTGGTTCGGAGGGCTCGAAGTTGGCATGGAGAACGCAAGGACAGGCGGTGGATATTGAAGTCCGGAAAAGGACGATGAAAACGGAGATCCATAGGGAGAAGGCTCCAGGGGCACTGGGTTGGTGTGAGCCCTGAAGGTGGGTGGTGGCTGGTAAGGATATGCACCTGGTGGACCACTATAGACCTGTGGGTCAGTAGGGTATGTGGGTGTTGGTCCATCAGGACTTTTGGCATCTGGGTAACCATGAGAACCTGGATATGGTGGTGCAGGATAAGGTGCAACAGGAGGAGGAAAGTCGCTGTTAATTGGACCACCATAAACCCCAGCAGGGTAAGGGTCCAAGGAGCCATTAAGTTGAGCACCAAACATAGGATGAGCAATAACCACTGGGAAGGCTACCTCTGGATCAAAGGCAAAGCTGATGTCCAGATACACCTATGAAAAAACATGTATACCAAATAAGATGACATTTCACATACAAAAGCATCAAATTACAATTGAGGTTAAAAAAGGGAAAACGTTATAGTAACAAAGGCTTTAAAAATAAAGTTGTTCTTTTTTCCCACGCATTTAGTGGCCATAAGCCCCATTTATTATCACGACTTCCCATAGGTGAACCCAGTATTCAGCCAGACACAGAGTTACGTTTGAAGAGTTTCTTGAAGGAGTGAATAATGGCAGATGAAGCATGCAAAACAGACACTGACTTGGCAGAGGAATTCTGGTTGACTGTGCTGGTCTGCAGAGAACCAGGAGATGTATATGTTGACAGATTCAAAAGGCAGTGTGGACTGGAGAACCACCAGAACAGACAAGTGGGCAGCTGAGACTCACCAAGGAACGGGTAGCACTGGAGCATAGAGAGAAAGGCAACCTCAACTAGAAGAATTCAGCTGGCAGGGCACATAGGATCCAGTATTGAAGGAAACAGGCATAAGCGCAGCATACAGACACAGGCAGCCTTTGCAGGAGAGAGTGAGACGTTCTGACAGAGATGAGTAGACAGAGGCAGGTACAAGTAGGCTGATAAACAGGTGAGCTGAGTACTCATTAGTGGGAACAGGTGGAGAAAATCTAGAGTGGGGTGGTGACTGGAGGCCGACTGAACTGTAGTGATAACTGCTGGTGGCACAGGCTGAACAGAAAAAGTCCATAAGTCAAAAAGCGAACTAAACAAAACCATAACTATGACATTTACAATACCTTTTCGAAACCTTCCAGACATCGGTCCGAGCACGCAAAACTGAACCGGATCGAGCCAGACACAATTGAAATGTGCTAAACTGGTATTAGTTCATCAGTAGGGCTTTGTTTAGTTAGCTTAGTTCTGGCTCGGTTCTCAGATAATGCAGATAACCCGCATAAGCAAACTGGGTCATCTCCGTACAGTCAGCCTCCGTTATCATGAAATTTCACACATTCATAAAAATACTAGCTTCCCTACCTCGCCACACGATTTCCAGTGAGAATTCTGCTTAGCAGTGTGATGAACATCAATATCTGTTAGTTCCCTGCATCCGTAAACACCGATTAGACTATCTTTTGTCGTATCCACTTCTCAAAAGTCGACTCTGTCAAGTACAATTCATCAAAGGTTGCCTTCTTCGCCTGACTCTCGCCGAGTCCTACAGATGAACTAGTAGCGTGGTTCGGTTGTGTCTGGCACGGTCCAGGTCAGTTGTGCGTGTCATTTACACTAAAAAGTTACCTCGGTTACCATGCTCGGACCGATCTCGACACAGTTTCAGCAGGGTAGTGTAAATGGGGCTAAAGATACATACCTTTAACTGGTATGTCACTGAGATTATATCACAGTTCTAGATTGAAGGCATCTCATCAGTGGGAATCTTCAGCGCACACTTCACCTCTTGCTGGGTGTGAGGTGTAATGACCTTATCAACCATTTTCTCAACAGTTTTCATCATACTTTTGGATTTTCCATTGGCAAAAAACTTAAAAGTCCGTATCAAACTAAATTTGGGAGTCATGTTTCTTGAGGAGGCATTGTCGACTTTTGCAGATATATGCATGGTTTCACCTATGAGTAGAAAAAAAGCATTTTTAATTGTTTAAGTTTCTCAAAGTAACAAATTCAAATAATTTCACAAAACTCAAGCTTAACCTATGTAGATCCTACAACAAATAAGCAGGATAATAAAATTAATTATAACCATATACCCATCACCTACTTAGCATTTACTATCTTAACATAGCTATTGGTGTGTGAATTTTACCACTTATGCTGCAGTATGATTCTTAATATTCTGATTATGACAGATGGACTAGTAAAGTATATGCAAATTCATAAATCTGCTGTTAATTAATAACATTCTCAACCTTGAGAAACACCTCAGACCAAACACAAACTTTGAAACAACCACCTCTATTTTGGGAATGGCGTCCCTTTGCTGATATATGGCAATGTATTTTTTTTGTATCAACAAATGCCATTTGATAATATGGCCAAAACATTTGGTTTACCGTACATATTTTTCCTCATTCATGTCATAGTGAACATTATTTTCTCCATCTTTCATTCTGCTTAAAAAAGCTAATCTTCGCAGCCTCCTACACTTAAAGAGTGGTCAAATCATGGTACTTTCTTATGATACATAATAATGCAATGTCAATGTGCATAGGACAGCAGTTGAAGAATTTATGGTTTTGACTCTGTGTTAAGAAGATACTGATTTTTGCAATCTCTGATTGGTGATTGGCATTTCTACTTCCAACTCTACTCCTTAAGGGCAAGATATAATCTTGCATTGGGTTGTCGTGCTGGACTGTGAATGCAATGCGCAAGCTCATAGAAGTGCTGTACATGTTTATAATTGATACAGAGGAAGGTGCACTACTCTCAAAAACCACAGAGGGGCAGGACGTGGCACTACCTGATCCTACCGGAAGCATGATCCACACCATCAGCTCATTTGTACGTATTTAACCAGATATACATCTGGATTTCCATAAATAATGTAATTATAGTATTAAAATTACTTATTTCTATCCTTAACCCACCAAATAATGCTAATACACATTCTTAAAAAATGTTTTATGACTTTTCTGAGAAAATGTAGATGCTTTTTACATATTTTCTGTTAAACTGCTTGTGTGACAATATAATCAGACATGCACAGCGCGGTCAGGCAAAACATTATTAAACCATGTTAATCTGCATTTTAGTGTTTTCTCTCTTTAGGTTACATACTATATAGCATAAAGTTAACATGAATGTAAAACATAAAACTCAAAACGACTAGATCTATGTTTAAATCCAATGCCGAAATTGTTAGCTCCCGGAAGTAGCATAGGATCGTGTTTCCGGTACCTGAACTGCTGAACTGCCCTGGGAAGGCATGTAAGTCAAATGGCCGTTAAGCTCATAAAAAATAGCCATATCTGCCTTTTTTTGGCAACTTTTTTGAGAGTAATGGCCCACAATACAATGTTAAAATACACAGGCGAGAAATCTAACACGGTCGGAAAAACTAAATACGTATTTGAGACTTTTCAGAGGGAAAAGTCTCAAATACGGGAAAATAATTACCACAGTCTTTATAACTCTTTTCCACTGACAAAAGACAATGTTAAAACCTATGAACAATCGGTTCTTAGTGGCAGTGGGAAAGGCTCAATGTCGATCCATGTCAAAGGACAACTCAGCTAACCTATCATTGAAAGGAATCAACTACCTGGGGTGTAAGCCGTCTTGTTAACAGTGGCATCTAAATGCACTTGTTCTTTGGAGAAAAGCCCCATCCTCTTCTCAGTGGAACCAGTTTGCTCATTCTGAAGGTCAGAAAACAAACAACCAAAAAAATTAATTATATAAAAAAAAACATCAAAACAATGTGAACAACAAATGTTGTAAAAGTTCACCTGAAGAGCTTTTAAGAGAGTATTGAGTTGAATCTAGGCAGAGCTGTATTACTACCCAGGTTGTTCTTGTAAAATGGAATTGTAATAGACAGAAATGAAGATTTCTAAGGACAAAGTCTAAAAATTGAGAGGAAGTGTCCCTGAAGCTAGATTACAAATGGCTTACAAAAGTTTTATTAACAATACCACAGCAATAAAAGTTAATGGTAATATCTAGTAAATTACTTGTACTTATATAGAGCTTTTTCAAGTCAGGAGACTTGATAAAAGCTCTTTAAACTAGATTCAGTCTTTCACCCATTCACACACAGATGGTGGAAAGCTACATTGTTGCCACAGCTGCACTGGGGCTCACTGACAGTTTTATTTTGCCCAAGAACACAACAACAAAGGAAAAAGGAGCAGCAGGTTGAACTGACTCCCTCCAGTTGCAGGGCAAACTCCTGCATCTGATGCCACTGTAGCCCAGATGTCTGTAAAGCAAAAAAATAATAATCTCCAACATGTATTAGAGATTTTTAAAAATGGGATTGCAGAGTAACTCATTATAGATCAGTTGATCTTGTTTATTAAATAAAGCTTGTTTGCATGGACTGAGATGCTAGAAGAGCCCAAAACAAAAGTAAATGGATTATCTATTTGTTTGATTCATTTGTCTTTAATAACTTTAATTAATTATCGTAATAAAACCAATAAAGGAATTATTTTTCTGTATGCCTATTATGTAAATAGTTTGAGGAAACATGTTACAATCTCCAATGTATTCTATCGATGTCCTACAATTTGTTGTCCCCAAAATATGATACAAGCTGCTGCCCTCTTTGTCAGGTTGCAAAAGAGATTTTGAATAACATTTGGACTAACCTGGCTTAATAAAGGCTTAATACATAAAATGGCTGATTCAGTCTACTCTTCTTACTGTAACCTTACAGTATAGGTACATTAAAACTCTTGACCCTACATGATTATTTAGACAGTCATCTTGGATGTCTTTTTGTTGAGTGACTTTAGCTTATTCCTATTTGTCTCGTTTAATTGACATGATATTGGTGAAAAAAAATGATTAATTATCTGCCACTGTGTTTATTTTCTGAGCATAATGAATATAATACGCACTAAAAGGGTCCTGAAGTTGGAAAACGACTTGGAAACAAATTTGAACTCCTTTTGTGCAGTGGAATCTATCCTCCAGTTCCTGGACAGTTTGGCCTCCAGTTTGTAGACAATTTTTCCGTGAGTTCCTCTGAAAGACGATGGCATGTTTCTGCATAACAGACATGATGGTGATTTAATGATAAGTGAATGAATATAATGCCATATATTCATTCATATGCTCCAATCAGAGGTGGAAAGGGTAGCTAAAGCTCGTACTGGAATAAGAGCAATGATACTTCGTTATTTGTTTACTCAGGTAAGCAAGACTATAAAATGTCCAAAAAGTATTTACTCAAGTACTGAGTACTTGTTAAAAATATGTGTAAATGAGGTTATCAGACAAACATATGACATCATCTTAAATTTTTTTAATTTGAAAGAATAAAATCAAAATGAGTAAAAATAAATAGTCAGAAAAAGTAAGGGTGGACAAAACATGGAAGGATGAGCTAAATATATGAATAAAAAAATAAATTAGCATCTTATTTCACAAAATAAAGATTATTAACAAATTTTAAACCCCACTTTAAACTATAAGAATTGGTGTACGTTTGATGCTATTTTCATTAAAACCTATTTACATTTTCATTTCAGGAACTACAGAGTGTGTAGAAATCCAGACAGTACCTTAGCAGTAGGTTCTCTGTTATTGGAAACCACCTTACCAATGTGCCACATGAAACTGTTGCAAGGTGTTTATCTTAAACTCACTTCCTTTCTCAGTATAAGACAACCACACTGTTTTGTGAGAAGAATTTGAAATGTGGAAGTTAAAGAAAATGTTTTGTCAGTGTATTGTGTAGTACTTACTCAGATGGGATCCTAAAACTGAAGTTGTAGACATGGTTCCCTTCTGGCAAAACAGTCTCTGGAAATGCAGATATAAAACAGGATATATTTAGTTTAATTAATTTATACCTTTAATTTTCCTGCACACTAATGGAATAAGGATGCATAAAACTTCCATTGATGCAATTTTGTCCCTTTTAATGGTCCTTCCTGAAACAACTGAGTGGTGTGGCATAAAACCTTTTCCCCCTCATAGTATCTCGTGGATCAAGGATTCAGCCAAGCCCTCCACATGCAGGCTATATATCGGAACCAGTTCAATAACCGAGTTATTAACTGGGTTAGCTCTGGCGCACTCTGAGTTCCCAGTGTGCAGATATGAAAAAACTGGCAGCGGCCCACTCGCACTAAATAAAGCGCTATTCGACCCATAAAGTTCTACTTCTTCTTTGAAATATTCTCTTTCCCTTAGTGTCTCTGTCCTGATTTGGATGCAGCGCGAGGTGCGCTGGCAGAACCGAAGCACTGAGTGAACGAAGAACTGGATGAGGAGTTGGGTGGCGTTCGGTAGGGGTGGGTCCAGGACGCTGGATTTGCCGTTGAGCCCCTCCGAGGTGTCATGGGCTTAAATCAACGAAACACCAGTGAAGGGGGGTGCCCATTTGACAACCTTCTGAGCCTACCCAACTCCGATTCCAGTCACAGAGACCTAGTGGTGCCTTGAGGGAAGGAAAGAGAGAGAGAGAGAGCAATGCCACTGGCCCACAGATGGTGCAGGGGCAAGTACCTGTAAAATTGGGCCAGTTGCGATATCCCTTATCGTATTTTGCATATTCAAATCTTCATTCTGCCCAGAGTGCATTAATTTCCCCCCTCAGCCTCTGAGTAATTTTTATTTTTTGAAGTGGTACAGTAAAAGTTTGAATTACAAAAACTCATGCCTGGGGTTAACAAAAAAAAAAAAAAAAAAAAAAAAAAAAAAAAAAAAATTATTATCAAATACAAAAACAACAGCACTTAAGAGCAAGTAGAATTATCACAACTTTTTACCAGAAATTGACATTCATGAAATTGAAATTTTGCACACAAAAAAAAGAAAAAAAAAAAAAAAAAAAGAATGAATCACATATAATTATTTTTGTCTATATATATATATACAGGGATTATGAAAAAATCAAAAAGCAGGGGAGTGTTAGCCTAGTAGTTAGAGCAGTACACTTGTGCTCCGAGAAGGTTCCAAGTATCCGGTTCAATCCCCACAGCCTCCATTCTGGGTCCCTGAACAAGACCCTTAACCCCACAGTGCACAAAGGTCAATTTCTCCAGTGTGAGATTAATAAATAAATAAAAAAAAGAGAATCAGAGTTTTTAAGAGAAAAGGTACTAAGAATATTAGTACTGTGAAGGGACATTTCCAAAAACTCAGGATGAGTTTCACTGTAATGATGGCAAAAGTAGCAGCTGCAGTCAATGTCTTTGTGAAGAGATTGCTTTGCTGGATAGTCCATTTGATATTGGGTCCAGTAATGAATGACAAAAGCACAGTAGCAATGTATTTTTGAAATAAAGCTGTTTTTTGTTACACGTGGAAGAGTTAAGCAGATCTACCCACAACAGTCTCAAAAATTTATAAAGAAAAAGTAACCGGCCTCTCATCAAAAGCCCAGAGCGCATCAATTGACGCGTTATCGATGTCTGTTTTTTCACTGGTTAATTGTGCATGTTGCTCGGGATCACTGAATATACCAGAAACAATATATTTCAGCAAATTCTTATCTTCTTGGGTTAAAGTTGGTTCTATTATGAATTTAACTGTAATAACAAATACAACCGCTTGTATTCATCAAAGGCTGTGAGGCATTTCTCTCTTTATGCGGAAATCTAACTTGTCTTGGGGTATAAATAGGGTCCGGTCAGCCAATTAGGAATTAAAGAGGAATGTTTCGCACCCTAACATCTTCAAAGAGAGGGAGAGAGAGGGAGGGGGGTTAACGGGGACTGTTTGGGGCATTTGTTAATGAAAGATTGAAAACTTAGGTAGACCAAAAAAATAAAATTAAAATAAAAAGCAACAAGCATGCGGTGAACTGTAGGCCTACCCTCTGAGTCTTCTGGGATTAAAAACTGTTTCAGTTTAAAATATCTCCGGTGCGCAGAGTATGTGTACGTCTTGTCGCCTCTCTTTTCGGTCCAGTGCACATTAGCGTCCCCTTTAGCCTTCACAAACAGACGCTTAGCTTTGGTTTCCTTGGATAAGGACAGAATCACTTGTCCAGTTATAGTGTCTCCCTCTGAAAAAGTCTTGTCTACGTTTAGCGCTTCGCAGCTGATAGTAAAACTACTCACTGCAGGCATCGTTTCACAAAGAAAAAATAGGAAGAGCCCGAAACAAAACTGCACAATAACTCAGGGAGCCTTTTTTCTGCTAAAACGGTCTGTCTAATTTCTGAGAACGACGGAAAAGACATGCCAAGAACATGTATTTATTTTTTTTTTTAATAACAGACCTCTACAGCCTCCCCGCCCCTACAAGGACGCGATTTACAGGAAGCATATTCAGAAGTATGGAAGCCCAAAGGTGCCACCACCCATTAAAATACACCCTCTCTATTTTACATAAAAAGTAATTGAATGAAAAAGAAATCTATATTTAATAAAATATAAAAAATATTGAACACATGAAAAGAATCCTATGTAATGTTAATTAAACTTTAATTCATATGACAAAAGCCATGTAATCCTTTTTTTAGTCACATAAATATTCACATTTAAAAACTAAATACATTATGGAAATGGAAATAATTTGAAAATACCCATTAACCTGTGTGGTAATTGAACATAATGTTCATGTGCCAAGCGATGTCAGCTCTGTCCACTTAGTTTGATATGCATGCCAGACAGCTAAACAAATTCATGATGTGCTACAACACAAGAATATGAAATAATGAAGTGGGTATAAAAAAATAAAATAAAAATGTTTTTGCAATACATATAACCAGATTTTATTGAATAATTTATGTTTGATTCTAAATCTTTAAAAGATAAGTGTTATGATTTAATTTTCTATTGTATCTATTTCCTTTTTAAAAATGCTTTTGATTTAAATTATTTAAATAGTCAACCTTAGCACCTATCTTACCTCCAATTATACAACTTTCAGGGTTGGACTGGCCAATGGGCCTACAGGGCATATGTGCTGCCGGCTAAAGGCTATTTTTTTTTTGTACTTATTAAATATATGAATCTACTAAAAAATATACATTTACCAAATGAAAATGTAATCAAAGAAAATTACCTTACCTCTGATAAATTGTTTTGTATGCTTGATTAATTTCTTTTGCTAATATTTACCTTCAAAACCACTAAATGTCCACAAATGTCCTGTGGTCCATTTCATGAAACAGGTTTAACAAATTCAGATTCAAATCAGCAACTCTAAATTGATCTAGCCAAAAGTCAGGAACTCTGAGTGTTCTGATTCACAACAACTCTTATGAATTAGTTCAATCAATTTTAACTAAGTCCACTTAGAGTAGCGCATGACCAAAAAGCCATTATCAGTGGAGCACCTATTATACGAGTCACCAGGACAACAGGCAAGGGGAAGTGCCTATTTACCCCCCTGGAACTAGAGATTTTAATGCAGAGATGCAAAAAGAAAAATGAAATAAAAAGGATAATGTGTTTTAAAGACAGAGAAATAACACCACAGCTACAAAGGAGAGGAAGGTGGCGAAGGAGAAGATTGTTGCTCAAGTTAATGTGTAAGTTTATAAGAAGTGGACTATGGCAGGCCGTGTTTACATTTACCGGTATTAAAAACCAAGGGCGTAGGTTTGATTTGAACTTTGGTAGGGACACTATCAGTCGGTTGTCATTGGTGCTATGCAATATGCATGTCCTTTTTTATGCACGGTGTGAGGATCCGTACTAATAAGACTAATTCATTGTTAAAAGAGAAAAGCATCATTTTGCTACATTAATAAAATTTGTATAAGCACTACATTCATTAGATGCTGTTTATTAATGTTTGAAGTATCACCGGCTCTGATTAATGTGGAATTAGGACTGTTTTCCACTTTGAAAATGGTTTAATTTGAACGACTAAGAGAGAAGGTAAATACAGTATTTTCTTCTGAAGACATAGAATTGTGCAGAGTTAAACCCCACTCTTATATTTGTACCTACTATTCTCTCTCTGTATCAAGCAAAATAATACATTCATTAAAATATTAACTTCACTATAAAAGTGGAACATCCGGGCTGTAGTTACTCTGTGTAGCCCATTTCATGTATTTTATCTGGGACTGAAAAAATGAATCGTATTAATTGATTATTTCAATAATCGTCAACTAATTTAGTGAGTGATTCATCATTAACTGGAGAATAGAGACTCTAAAACATAATAAAAATGTAAAATATGCCTTTCTCCAACAGAGCAACCCACTTAGATCAGTAATTATATCAAAATTTTAAAAATACAACATATATATATATATATATATATATATATATATATATATATATATATATATATATATATATATATATATATATATATATATATATATATATATATATATAAGATAAAAAAAAATGTTTTTGTCTGTCAATATTCTTCATCCAGAACTCATCAAGAGGAAATATTTTAGTATCACCTGGTTTATTTAGACATCACCTGAAGCACTGAAGGGCCAGCTGCTTCACCTACAAGCTGCCCTGCATCATTATTACTGGATATCTGTGTTTCCTATAATCATATAATGTATAACTGTGTTTTTAATAGTAAAGGATTAAATGTAACACAACCTTTTATCATTGTCCTATATTGCTTACACAACACTGAGCATGAGCCTAAGTGTATTAAAATATAAAATCACTTTTAACAATTATAAAAGACAATATAACACTATCTTATCTGTGCTTTAATAATATCCAAAATAAACAGTCAGATTCAAGCATTTTTACCAGACATTAATGTTTGTACTAATTTACTTATAGACTGTGTGGAAATCTATGTAAGATAAAATCAATGTTAATATTCTTCCTCTGTTTGTTCTTGTCTTTTTCCTATTTCTAGAAGTATAAATATTCATTTAAATTATTATTATTATGTGGAACCCTAATTATGCTTTTTAAACAAAAAATAGCAGATGTTTAGGCACCATTTCTTGTTGTTATAGGCTACTCTATAAAAGAAATAACACCTGCTAATAATTATACCTAAAAGAGTCATCAAAAAATGAAAACAGTAATAGCAACTAAATATCGGTAAAAAGGAAACCCTCAAATTTTCTTTCTTAATTGGCTGTGGCTAAGAATCAGAAATGTTGATGGCTTACAGCCTTTATTTGCCCATTTTTCCAGCAGTCTTCAGAACTCCTGGCTGACCCAGAATATTTCGTTTTATAAAAGAAAAAAAAAGGTTTTTGTTTTTTAGTGCAATGATATTCCTTTTTTTTTATTGGGACTAGTTTTACAGCCTAATATTAATTGTAGTAACCGCGGCATTCTAGTGTGAATACATTTTCAATTTTGTGCTCCAAGCACAGACGGACTAGAAAACAGCCTATCAAGGAGAGAGAAGGCGGGACCTAAGGCAGAACAACCAATGAGAGTGGAGTTAAACAGCGCAGCACAGTTCTATGCGCTGCTGCATGAAAGGGACAGGAGAGACCAGGCAGAGGAGCTGCGAGAGGAAAAGAAGCCTCTGCTGCAATAACTACTGCTGTAAATTATAAACATGTTGCTCAAATCCAATTATTGGTCGGGACAATTAGGTCGGTTCAAAATTTTGGTAGGGACATGTCCCTATGGTCCCTATGCAAACCTACGCCCATGTTAAAAACACTCCTCTCTGTTGTTCCATTTGTAGCTCATTAAAATAAGATTCTTCCTGATCAAAATCACACTCCTAGACCCAACTGTAATAATATATTTAGCAAATTACATTTCAGTAGCAGAAACTGAATTTTAGAAAATAAATAAAAAATGAAATTTTACTTGTAAGAATTAAGTTTCATATATCTAGAAATGTTTAGAAAGTTTAATTGGCTGTTTTGACATTTACCAGCTTGACTGAAAATGTGAGAAAAAAATGAAAAACAAAAATTCATAGTTAAAGTATTACAAATGCTGACCAGTAATATTAGGAACAGGGAGATCTGAAATTACCTACCTATAACCTATTCTGAAATTACATATTCAGTAAAACTATAACATTTAAAAAAAGATTTACCATAGAGGGGTTACCAACAGAATATTATGGGATTATTTCTTGAATGGTAGTAGATCAATGTATCCATTTAGGTAAAATCTTTTGGCAGCAGGGGAGGAAGAAGAATAAACACATTGTTCTAATATATAGAACCTGTGGATCATCTCATGTGTCCCTCCTCACGTTAATTCAGTCTTTTTTTTTTTACACAGTAAATCAGTGGCTGTTTGCAGCTGCGCTTCGAATGTTATCATCCCAATAAATCGCCATTATAAGTGGCTATCAGTCCCATAGAATGCCTTCAGATTGTGCTTATTAGGTTGTCATCATCACAATTAATTAATTAACTTATGTCTAATCTGAAAATAATTTAAGTAGTTCTTTATGTGCTGTAAATATGACTAAGTAAAAATAAAACTATCCACATCTCGCTCATATTAAACAAACTAAAAAATAAAGTAATCTCATGCCCTGTCACTAAGATGTAGAATCCTCTCCCTATAAATATTGAACTCTCTGTGAAAAAGTGAAGATCATTCTTTAATAAGATCCTCATCAAACGGACATTTTAATACACACACACACACACACACACACACACACATATATATATATATATATATATATATATATATATATATATATATATATATATATAAAATAAAACAACGCAATTGGGTGTAAGGACAGTGGAGACGGGGGATACTCTGAGTTTGCTGAAGGAAACCCGCTACTGTACAACCAGGTTAGCTCTGGGGAGGATGCTACTACGGTGACTGAAACAGAGGTTGAGGGAACTCTCTTTGTGAACCAGAGAAGTTTCTTTTCTTTTTGTTTTTGTTTTCAGGTTTTGACAACCTAAGAGTTTTCAGTAAGCCTGCTTCATGAAACAGATCCCTATGGTTTGCTGCATGTCTCTCTATAAAATATAGATAATCATGGTGGGCTGCCATGACCAAAAATACCTCAGTCAATTTTAAAATAAAATTATGCACAAAGACTTACATAAATATACAGTCAATAATATATAGTTATTAAATGCAACAAAAGGTTCCTGCACAAGGCCTCCTGTGGAGCTGGCTTACAGTTACCTTATGTATCTCTGCCTCTTTATGTCTGCTTCTGCTTGGACCCCCAGTGGGCAAAAGGCCTCTGCCTAGTTCTACTTGAGGTTTCTTCCTGTTAAAATTGAGTTTTTCCTGTCCACTGTCGCTACAAGCATGATTGGTTTGAGGTTTTGCTTTCGAGTCAATAAGTCTGATTTAATCAGCTGGTTTTCCTTAGATAGAAGAATCTGAACCAATCTGACTGTATGATCTGGATGAATTG